CACTGTTAAATCATTTCAATTTTTAAGTCTTCACTTTTATTTTGCTGAAATTATTCTCATCAGAATCATTTTCCAAGTAAAGTTTTAATGGAGTCTTATTTTATTGGTCATGATTTTTTGTTCTGATTAACCAACTATAAGTTTTGCAGTTGGAAATTTACATTTATGGACATTATTAATCTAGTCCAATGATTCTAAATCAAATTTTACAGATACACAATTTATCAAAAAGGTTCTCTATCAATTTTTGTTGTTGTTGTTCCATGCTGTGGAGTTGGTTCTGGCTCATAGCGACCCTGTATAGGGTTTCCAAGGAGTCCTGGTTTGGCGCTGAGTTAGTGCACTGGACTGCAAAGTCGGTTTGAACTGCATGGTTGCAGTTCAAGCTCACCAGCTGCTGCTTCTTGGAAATCCTACACAGGGTCGCTATGGGTCAGAACAGACCCGATGGCACTTAACAACAAAAACACCACCACCAAGGAACAACTGGTGGGGCTGAATTGCTGCTCTTGTGGTTAGCAGACCAGTGTTCATCCTACAGCGCCATACCAGGACTCCATACATATTTTGCTATGTGCAATTTTTGCTTTAGTTAATTTGTCATAAATATTCATTGTAAATTAGATAATATAAAATAGTTTACATTTATTTCTTAGCTAATTTGTGAAAAAAAGTAAGCAGTCCTCAGTTATTTCAGGATTATTGTTAAGTGCCATCAAGTCAGTTCTGACTCAGAACAACCTTGTATAGGTTTTCCAAGGTGGGTGTGAAACACCGACCTTGTGGTTAGCAGTTCAGTACTTACCGTATAGTGTCACACCAGGACTGTATTAATGAGAGAATGAGGGGATATGTTTTTTGCTATGTAGTTTTTTTTCATCACTTGGGGGGTGTTCTAAAGTCCCCTTTTGCTGATAAAGCAAAGAGCCAATGCTGTTGGATACCATCAACTTGTTGCTGATTCATGGCGACTCTGTGTACGGAAGGAAACGCTCTTATCCTCATAGTAGTTGATGCTTGAGCCTATGGTTGGCAGCCACTGTATCAGTCGTCTGTCTTGTGAGGGTCTTCCACGTTTTGCTGAAAGCGAATAGGGCTAAAATAGTGCTCCACGTTCACCAATATTTTGGGGAAAGATGTTTGAGGGGGCTTCTTGACCTTTCTTTTCCCTGATTTTCAGCCCGGTCAAAGTTTCTGACTCTCCTTTTACTGCTTCTGCTACTCTTCTGCCCCACTTTCTCTCGCTCAGTTCCTTTCTGCCTATAGTTGAGCCCACTTCTTATCCTTTTTCAGGTCCCACTTAGCAGGCTGAGACTATAGCTCTATTAGGTTGCTTTTTTCTATTGCCCCATCCCCATCTTTTTCTGAGAGTTGCTTATCAGTGTTCCTAATGTTGTGCTTACAAAAGCTCAGAGAAGAAACTCTTGTCCCTGCCACTAGGCTCCCTGAGGGTCAGGGACTGAGAGAGGCTGTGAAAGTGCTGGGGTAGGGCTCTCACAGCAGCACAAAAGGGCCCTATTCTGGGGGTGCAATCGGCTATCTGCTGGGAGGATAGGGTAGATGACGTGAACGCAGAACCTGGGAGCTGCATTTCAATCACCATCGCATTAGATTTATTGGACACTCATCACATTAGATTTATTGGACACTCCCTGCGTGCTTACATCTGTAATAAATGGTTTCATGCTTCAAGCTCAAAAACCCGGTTTCTACCTTTTTACAAGTGGTTTTAGAACATTATAATATTGAACTGAATTTTTATAAGCTTTTGCTATTATATCATCATTTACTACCAAAACTGTGGTATCAAAATGAAAGTTAAAAGATTTAATAATGCTTCAGGGACAGTCCCTCAATTCTTTCAGGATCAGCTCCTGTCGGTTTCTGCTGCTGGTCAGCTCGTGTCCAGTGAGAGAGGCCAGAGGTGGGAGGTAGGACTCCTGGAGAGAACATCTGTGGTTGGGCACCAGAGCTGGGGAGGGAGGGAGGGACAGACTGAGGAGAATATTTTCAGAGAGATTTGGAAAAGGAAAGGGCAGAGACAGAAATAAATAGCAGGTGTTTGGGAATAATTTCTTTCATTTAGTTAATAAATAACAAGGGGCTTCAAAAAGTTCATGAAAAATGAAGTTAAAAGATAATGGAATTTTCCGTGAACTTGTTAAAGCCCCCTTATATAGAGTGAGTGCCTGCTCTATGCAGACACTTCTCTAGATGCTTAATGGAACCACAGCAGTGCCCAGTACGTACTAACAGTCCCTGCCCTCATGGAAGAGGAGCCCTGGTGTCATGGCGGTTAAACCGTTTGACCACTAACCAGTATATTGGTGTTTGAATTCAGCAGCTGCTCTGTGGGAGAAAGATTTGGCAGTCTGCTTCCATAAAGATTTGTAGCCTTGGAAACCCTAAGAGAGCAGTCCTACTGTCCTTTGGGGTTGTTATGAATAGAAATCAACTCAACAGCACAAGGTTTCACTGTCATGGAGACGGTTCAGTGGTAGAATTCTTCCCTTCCACGCAGGAGCCTGGCTTTGACTCTAGGCCGATGCACCCCATACACAGGCTGCTAAACAGGTTTCATTAGTTTTCAGATTATGACAGATGAGGGAGAAAGGCCTAGTAATCTGTTTCTGAAAATCAACCTGTGAAAATCTTATGGATTACAGCTGTCTGATCTCCCCGCCACACCATTGGGGATGCCACACAACAACAGCTAAAACAACGCTCACGGAGCTTATGTTCTAACAGGAAGAGACAGCCAAGAAAGTCAAGTAGTCAAGTTGGTAGAGTATTGAGGGCTTTTATTTTTTAAAAGGATGATCCTGCAGGGTCTCACTGATGAAGACCTGGAGCTGCTGGTAAGGAATAAGTTCGTGCAAAAACCTTGGGAAAGAGTATTCCAAACAGGGAAGAAAAATAAAGAACATTCCTACTTCTGTGAAAGTCAGTAAGCCAGGTGTGAGGTATGGGGGACTTGTAGGAGGTGAGTAGAGTTCGATTCTGGGTGTGTTCTGAAGGTAACACTAAGGTTTGCTGCTGGATTGGATGTAGATTGTGAGATAGGATTTGACCCACAGGGAGGATGTTGTTGTCATTAAATGCAATGGGAGAAACATAGTGGGGGTGGGGGAATAACTGGTTTGGGGGCAAAAATCAGGAGCCCAGTTTGGGACATAGTAAAATTGAGTTCTGTGGACGTGAAAAATTCCACGGGTGTGAATCACACAGAAGACAAAAAGGACTTGGCTAGGAAGAAAAGCACTGACGATTGGGGAGCTGATTACGAGGGGTGCATTGTAGACTGTTTATCTATAGACAGTGGATGAAGCTGGGCGTTAGCGAAGCTTGGACAAGCTTTTGAAGAGAGCACAAAGGCCCTTGGGCTGGTAGAGCGCACATGAATGGGAATAGCATGAGCAGGCTGGGTGAGGCTGTGCAGGGGCTGCCGCATGGGCTTTGAGAGGTTAGATAAAGAGTGAAACGCTACAGGATGGGGGTGGCGGGGGTGTAAAGTCGACTTGTCATGTGGGAGCTGACTTGAGATGGAGCTGGAGAGCTGGACATGGGCTGGGGGTTTAGGCCTCTAAGGAAAATGTCAGAGTGATGAGGAAAAGAGCTGGTGTGGACTGTGTCAGGGAGGGGACGGGACAGCTTGCGGAATGGGCCAGCGCTGCAAGTAAGAGTCCATGAGATCTTGTTGGCATACAGACCGACACGACAGGGAGTATCAGGAGAATGTGGCAGGTAAACTCTATCAAAAGCCGTTCCATCCACACACACGTTCTCACCTGTGACATGTCTTGCAGCTCCATGGAGCACTTTGATTTCACTGAGTTCGCCTCTCCACATGAGAGTGCTTGTACAAACACATGTTAGGGGACAGGCATGGGTGGATCCATTTCTACAGATGTCTCCTTCCACATGGAGCTATTATTACTGAGGAGTTGATTTCACTGCTTAGTGGTCCTTTGGGCGGAAATCAAGGGAATCCCTAAAACGCAAACACTGAAAATGGTTGTAAATTTGTAGTTCTGACAAAAATGTCAGTGAATAAGACTAAGCTAATAGTTGAATTAAAATATTGAATTATGTCGATTATATGCCTTTGATTGCAAACAATTAGTAATTACTAAAGTACTCTATACTCTCTTCCGTTTTATATACAAAGGCTAGAGGGGCTTGGACTTCATTTGCTTGTCCCCTTCTCCTGTTTGCCATTAGCCCTCCCAGCTGACACTGAGCTCCAAGCTTCAGGACTCTGAACTAGAACCCAGAGCAGCTATTTGCATTGTCCATGCTACCTGGACTAGTGGGTTTGAACTGCCAACCTCATCAATAACGTACAGTGCTTATCCTACAGTACCACACCAGATCTCCAAAAGGCTAGGTGGGAAAAAAGATGCCATTATAAAATTAGGGATGAAGATAAGGACTGGAAGGGGGCGGGGACCAAGGGGCTCAGTAGTTGGAAGAAGACTCTGGCCACCATTTTGGGCTGGGTGTTTGGGAGAAGTGGGAAAGGTGATGAGCAGACTTTGTAGACTCTGATGGTGTTTCTTGGACCTGGATGTGGTGGGAGGGGGTGGGGTGAGTGATCAGCTGAAGTTGAAGGCTCCCTCTGGAAGTGTTCTTAGGAACTAGTGGAGTGGGAGGAGAGTAACACGTTGGTGGAAGACAGGACAGAACAGAGAGCCACGAAGGACTGCAGGCTGGCAGACCTCCTTCCCTCCAGTGTCCCAGCCCACACCAGACCCAGGCTTCCTGGCTGAGTCTACAGGGTGCAGTGAGAGGAACAGCCAGGAATTGGGGATTGGAGGAAGTAGGAAGAGGGTAGGGAGAGTGAAGTCCGGGTGGGTTTCCTCTGATCTGATGCCTGTTTGTTGCCTCCCCATTTTGCGGTAGTGAAATCTGTGCTGTGTTTCTTCCCGTCTCTCTGTCTTCCCTGAACCTCTTCCCACACCCTGGACGGTCCACCCTCTGGGACCCTGTTCATCCAACAGCAGAGGGGAAGGCTTACAGCTCAGACGAGGAGAAGCTGGAGGCCCCTGTGGGCGACCTGGCAGGCAGCGAACAGGAAGAGGAGGGCTCAGGTGCTGACAGTGAGGACGACAGTTTCCTGGATGGTGCGGCAAGTGGCCCCGGGACGCTCCTGGGACCAAAACCGAAGTTGAAGGAGGGTTTGGGAACTGGTGCTGAGGAGGCTGCACCGGTGACGCCAGGGGCCACGGCACCTGGGGGCAAGAGCCGGCGGCGCCGCACAGCTTTCACCAGTGAGCAGCTCCTGGAACTGGAGAAGGAGTTTCACTGCAAGAAGTATCTCTCGCTGACTGAGCGCTCACAGATCGCCCATGCCCTTAAGCTCAGCGAGGTGCAGGTCAAGATCTGGTTCCAGAACCGGCGTGCCAAGTGGAAGCGCATCAAAGCCGGCAACATCAGCAGCCGCTCTGGGGAGCCCGTGCGGAACCCCAAGATCGTGGTGCCCATCCCTGTGCATGTCAACAGGTTTGCTGTGCGTAGCCAGCACCAGCAGATGGAGCAGGGGGCCCGGCCCTGACACCCTCGCCTTGGGGGGTACAGCTGGGACTGCTCCCGGTACCAAGTCCCTTGGACCCTACGAAGGTTAGAGGGGCTTGAACTTCGATAGTTGTTGGGACTGATGTGGACCACAGGGAGGGGTGGGATCAAATACTCCTGGCCAGTAGGCTCCTACTGATGCCCTGGATAGCCTTGGATAGGGGTGGGAGAACCATCGGGTGATGCCGGCTCCTTATTTATTTTGTAAAATTTGTATATACCAAACACTGTTTGTCTGCCCCGTGAGAGGGGCTGGGGAGTTGTTTCCTCAACCTCAGCCATCCTATCTCTACAACACTAGGACATGGGAATGAAGAAACGTAACTGCCACTGGATTCTGCAGACACGCCAATCCTTACATCCTCACCCTCGTTAACTACCTCCATTGCTGCCCCTTGTCCACACCTCCTCCTGCCCACTGCAGCCTCCCTTGATGCCTCATGGCTCCAAGTGGGGTACTGCTTCCCCTCCCACAGCCACTGTGGTGGGCAGCGGGTCTATGTTCTGTGTACTGAGGGAAGAGGTGCATCTGCTTCCAAAAGCTGTTGGGGTCTGTCCAGGTCTGTGTAACTTGGAAGAGGCTATCAGAGGTTGGGGCAGGGTGGGGGCTTGTCCATGTCTACCTGTGAACTCACTAATAAATTATTTTCCATGTAAAGGACATGACCGCTGCGTCCATTTCTGTCGCCTGTTTCCATTTCCAGTTGTCTACTCTGATGGCATGACCCATGATCTCTTTCACCTGTCACATCATGGAAGAAGGTTGGTACACCCAAAACCAAACTAGAGATTCAGAGGGCCTATACTGTGGGGGACTGGAGTTGAAATTGTGACAGGAATGTTAAGGACCAATATGAATGGGGCAAGTAAACTGGGCTGGAGGCTTCAGGGGCACTTGTAAGCAGCCGTGCACTGAGGGAAGGAAGGCTAACGGAGACCACTCACCATCTGCCCCGGCTTCACATGCCCTGTCCAAACTCTACATGGGTGCAGAGCAGGCTGCAGACAGATCTGCAGACTAGGAAGGAGGACGATTACAGAAGCCAGGTGAAGTCGGCATCATGCTACTGGCATATACTGATTCAGGGGGCATGAGGACAAAGAACAGAGCCACCGAGAGGCTGGCAAGGTCAGGAAGTGATTTTAGGGAAAGAAGGGGATCTGGCTACCCTAAGTATTTATAGAACATCTCATGGAGACGGACTGGGAGTCTTACCTTGGTGGCTCATGTCTCTTGACTGGTTTTTGTAACCCAACAAAAGTACCTTGAGTTGAAACTGAAGGTTGATGACAGTGTTAAAGTCTCTAGTCACAGCCAAGACACATGGTTACATTTAAGTAGGATTAGGCTAAGGAGCTCTGGTAGCATAGTGGTTACGAATCGGGCTGCGAACCTTAAGGTCAGTGGTTCGAAACTACCAGCTGCTCCATGGTAGAAAGATGAGGCATTCTACTCCTGTAAAGATTTACACCCTCGGAAACCCTATACAGGGTCGCTATGGGTCGGAACCGACTTGACAGCACATAACAACACTAGGCTGAGAAAACGTAGTCCAGACCAGTCATCCCTACCTGATCGAGATCAAGGTTAGGGCTGTATGGCTCCTTAGGCTTGGACTACGAAGGGAACCTCCCAGGTTCTCTTCTAAAACAGGCAGAAGATGAAGATCCCATGAACTCTTGAGATATTGGTCACAAAAAACTCCAATCTCTACAGGTTTACACCGGAGCAGAGGTTTTCTGGCCACTGCCTGCAGAAAGCAGATGTGAGAGCCTGGGCAGGAAGGCTGGTGTCCCCACCTGCCATTTCCTTCTGGAGTGACCTATGAACTCTCCTTAACTAAACCAAGTATTCAGCCAACTCAGTTTTCCTTAATCTGGAGGTAATTATTTCTAGCATTTTCTAAGCCCAGAAATACATACTCATGATCCTCTCTCTATTCCTTTTTAACTTTTTATTGTGAACTGAGCGAAGGTTTACAGATCAATTTTACATTGAACCAAACCATACACTTTAATGGCTGTACTCCCCTCAAAGTAACATTGCTTGTTCCACTTACTTAGTTGTCCCTTCCTCCTTTTCCTACTCTTCTGAATTTTGTCCTTACGTAAATCCTGCCCTTTTGATCTCAAATGATTGACCAGTGTCTATTTCATTAGTGTTGTTCCCCTATAGTATCTATGGCTTGGCTGGCTGAAAATTGAGTCACAAGGGGTGAGTTCAGTTCTAGTCCTGAATGATTACTAAGAGCCATAGTCTTGGGGTTCCACGAGGTTCTAGCTGACTAAATGCCTGTTTTGTTTTTAAATCATTTTGTTTTGTTCCAATTTTTCCCACTCTACCCAGGACCTTCTAATATCCCTTTCAGAGCAGTTGGTAGTGGGAGCTGGGCATCATGTAGTTCTTCTGGTTTCAGGGTTGTGGAGACTGATGTTCTTGTGGTCCATTAGTTCATTGGACTAATTGTTTCCAAGCATCTTCAGTTCTCATCACTCTTTTTTCTTCTAGACAGGCAGAGACCAAGTTATACCTTAGGTGGCTGCTCATAAGCTTTAAGACCCCAGTTGCTACTCAACAAAGTTGGATGACATTCTTTGTGGACTTTGTTATGCCAGTTGACCATGGTGTCCCTCATCCCTATCTCTATTCTGCCCTTATCTATACGTAAGTTTCTTCTCAACTTTATACAAAAGGGTCTGTGGGTGGAGTAATCATAAAACACAGCTTCTTCAGAGTAGTTGTTGTTAACTGCCTTCAAGTTGGTTCTGACCCATAGTGACCCTGTACAGGGTTTCCAAGGCTGTAAGTCTTTACGGGAGCAGAAAGCGTCATCTTTCTCCCGTGGAACGGCTTGTAGTTTCCAACTGCTGACCTTGAGGTTCGGAGGCTGATTCATAATCACTACGCTACCATAGTAGTACTACTTGGTTATTTACCCACACACAGGCAGGTGCCCACCTACAGCACCAGCCCCCAACACTCCACGTGTATTGAGAATGTTCTGGAAGGTGGGGGCTATCAGGTAGGATAGTCTAAAGAATATGAAAGCAATAATCATCTCCTCAGAGAGCCAAGATCCTGATTAGCAAGTTCTTACCTTTCAAGAACCAGTAGCGAAGGGTATTATATAATGCCCCAGGTTCTTTCTAGGAATAACTAAGGAATAGAAGGTGAGGTTCTGGGCGCTGCCTGCAATGTGGCTCATCAGGACAGTGGTTGGCCATTATTAGCCTCCCCACTCACACTTTCTCAACAGAATAATCCAGATACAGGTCTGTCCATTTCCACTGCAACTGAGTGGTCTGTAGAGACAAATGCTACTCTCATAAACTTGTGGCCTTCTCAAAGCTTCCCCTGCATGTTGATTTGCTCAGGTTGTCAGGGAAGCTCAGCCCTTTTTGGGAAAAGTGGTCAGTGTGTGTTGCATGATGTTACTATTACTAGATAGAATACTGGAAACTAAAGAGCAGCTGGTGGGGCTTTCTGAGAGGGGATGGAGCAAGGTAGGACAGGAGACATGCAGCAGGAAGCAGAGGCTCTGTGTCTTCTCTTCTTAGGACTCACAGTTGTTGCTCCTGAAAACTCTTGCCTCTACATTGGCAAAAGAAGGCTGGAGCAAGAAAACCAAGAGGACACCGAAGAGGGGGGTAGACAGTACCGGACTCAGGCAAAAGGAAAGGAAGGTTAACTAAGAGCAAACATGAGAAGACTGGACAAGGGCCATCTTAGGAAGGGCAGAGAGAGAAAATGGGCAAACAAGGCCACACGCAGCCTGGTTTATTGGCTCATCATACACACACACACACACAAAGTATGTACACAACATAAATATTCCGATATACAATTTTACATGGGACTCAAAGATCACCCCCTTCTCTGTCACCTAGTACCCCCATTCCATTTTCCATATTAGGGGGTTGGAACTAAAAGGTAGGAATCTGGAGGAGGGGAGAGGTCCTGCTCCCCTCTCCTCACAGGTACCTCCAAAGGGTCCCATCCCTTTTCAATGGCACCTATAGAGCAGTGGGCTCTGTGCCTCCACTCTTATTGTCTGCTGCAGCTTAATCCCAAACCTCCCCTGTGACTCTCCTTCTCACTGAGCTCTTATCCTCTTTCAATCTTTCCCCCAGTTTCTTCCTAACTTCTTCTACAGGTCCCTAATTGCGTCTTTGTCTCCCCAGTGCCTGCAGGGAGGCAGGTCCCCAGGTCCCATAATCCTTGTGGCTTTCTTCCTGGGCTTCACAGGAGGCTGGGACTACGGTGCAGCTCAGTAGAGGTGTTGGTGCTCCTGGCAGGCTCTCGGCTGGGGGTGGGTGCCAAGCTGCAGTCTTCCCCAGGGCAGCCGTGCTGTAGTAGGATGTCTGCGCACTCTTGGCTGCCAGCCCGGCGGGCATAAGCCAGGGGAGTCAGGCCTCGGGCGTCCTGGCTCCTCACATCTACCCCATACTGTGGAGAAAGGACAGAAGAGAGAAGGCGAGGTGGTCAGAGGTAAGGACCAGTAGGTACGAGGGTCAGGGAGGCACAGCACTCACCCAGATGAGCAGCTGTGTGAAGACCACGTTGGCCATGGCGCAGGAGAGGTGCAGCGCAGTGCGACCATCCCCGTCTCCGTATGTCTCGTTCACCTCCTCCTTGGACCCATGTGCCAGCAGTGTCACCAGCAGCCTCAAGTCGTCCTCCACCACGGCCCGCAGCAGTTGCTGTCCCAAGGGTACGTCGGAACCAGGCAGGGGTGCCAGGAAGAGCTTCTGCTCATACTTGGCTCGGATCCACCGCTCTTTCTCCTCCCTGCAACCACAGTCCACCAGGGGTCAGACAGGAAAGGGCGGTGACCAGCTTCAAATGGGAGCAAGGAAAGGGTGAGTTCAAGATAGCCACATAAAGTAGAAGAGACAGACCAAGGACACCCTCAGGGGTGGCTGAAAGCAAAGAGAACCTGATGGCCTGAGTGGCGGTTATCTGGCCATCAGAACTCTCTC